CGTGGAAACAGAACGCTCTTCTAATTCTGATACATCCTTTCACCCTTACTCTTTCCTTTATCACCTACCAACTGTTGACCCTACGAGGTGATAACTGTTTGGTCATTCTGATTCTCAACTCAAAGGATAAATTAATGAATGGACACACAGCTTCTTTTTTTTCTTTTTAATGCGACCCATACTGCCTCTAGAAGGATACACAACTTCAACGTAAAGACTTCGAGAAGATTTTTTTTCAGTGATTTGAAATCAAAATAAGACTAGCAATAAACATATAATTGATAGCTGACATTTACTGAATATTTACCATGTTTCAGACACTGTCACCTGTGCTTCATGTGCATTTTCTCATTTATTTCTCAAACAGCAAAACTGAACTTTTATTAGTTGGGTACAATTTTCATCTCTACTTCACAGGAGAGGAAATTGGGGCACAAAGGGGTTAAGTAACTTCCACTAATCATACTGTTAAATAGTAAAGCCTGGACTTGTATTCAGGCACTGACACTCTAGAACAGTGGTTTCAGCTGGGGCTTATTTTGTCCCCAGGGGGAGTTTGGCAGTATTTAGAAACCTGTTTGGTTGTCATAACTGAGGGGTGATACTGGCATCTAGTGGATAGAGGCCAAGAATGTTAAAAATACACAGAACAACTCCCCAGAGAAAAAACTTACCCAGCCCAAAATTTCAATGGCAAGCATAAGAAACCCTGCTCTAGAACCTGCCTTTTGGCATTTCTCTGTACTTCTGTACTACTGAATTTGGATGGATAAAATGAATACGACATCTCACATTACTGATGATTAATTCTCAGCTGCATTTAATCTCACAACACTTTCTCATGACAATATTGATTATAATACATTGCAACAGCAGATTTTACTGTACCTCATAATGATCTTGGTATCTTCTGTGAAATAAAAATGCCTGGTTTCACTTCCCAAAATTCTTGCTAAATTAGTCTGATGTAAATCTCTTGGGAATCAGATATTTTTTAAAAAGCTCCCCAAGTGATTTTAATGTGCAGCCAAGTTTTGAGAAACGTGTAGAGAAAAATAACAGGATTTTTAAAGTATGGAACACTTTCTATTCTCCACTAAAATAGTATCCTAGTAATGGCTCAAAGTTATTGAATGTTTATTATGTGCCCAGGGCTGGACTGAATGCTTTGCAGGAATTATCTCACTTTAAATTCTTCAACACCTCTATCAGGTAGTTGTTCTTATCACCTGTCTTAGTTTGTTTGGGCTATGATAACAAAGTACCATAGACTGTGTGGCTTATAAGTGACAGCGATTTATTTCTTACCATTCTAAAGTCTGGTTAATCAAAGATCAAGGTGCCAGCAAATTCAACGTCTAGGTCTTGCTTTCTGGTTCACAGCCTTCTCCCTGGTCCTCACACGATGGAAGAGACAAAGCAGCTCCCTTGAGCCTCTTGTACAATGACACAAACCCAATTCATGAGGGCTCTGCCTTGATTTCCTTCATTCTCTAATCACCTCCCAAACACCCCACTTCCTAATACCATCACCTTGAGGGTAAGAATTTCAACATATGAATTTGGAAGAGACACCCACATTCAGACCATAGCATCACCATTTTACAGATGATGAAACTGAAACATCTGAAAATTAACTGATCCAGACCACGCAGCTACTGAGAAACAGAGCAGTTTATTAAATCTAGCTCCTTCTGACTAGAAAATGCGTGGTGGAAATCAGCGGTTCTGAAACATAAGCATGCCTCAGAACCATCCAGAGAGCTAGTGAACACACAGATTGTTGAACTCAGCCCCAGAGTCTCTGACTCAGTAGGTCTAGAGTGGTGTCTAAGAACCTACATGTTTAACAAGTTACCAGTGATGCTACTGACTTTGCTGGTCTGGGGACTACACTTTTTGAGAACCACTGTGGGATGGTTTCTATAAAATCAAGCTGTTTTCATGACATTTCTTCTATTTAAGGGGATTCATCCCTCATTTCCTCCTGAATCTTGGCAGCAGTGGGTGGTTGGAGAACATTTCTTTCCCCCAGCATAATGTCTTCTGATACTAGGAACAATTCTAAGCACCATGTTAGTGTGAAAAGTGTAAAATAGCTACTACCTACCGTTCAATTGGGTCAAGGGAGAACTACCCAGGAGAGAAATCAACACCCTCTTGCCTCTGCAGGTAAGATCCCCTAACCAGAGAAAATGAAATCTACCAACAGGACAGAAACAGACCTAAACCATTGGGACAACAATTCAAAGTGACAATTCAAAGCCAGATAAAGAGGATAAAGGGACGGGTTTTATATTAAGGGAAAACAGGAAATCAACAGAAGTTTTTTGTTTTAACTTCCTTGTTCCTACACTTAGAACCAACTAGGATTAAATAAAGAACAAAAAGAAGCAAGTGCTCTTCTTTTTGACCTAGCTCTCATCCCCACTAAACATCAGCAAGCAAGAAAACAAACATACCCCAAACATGAGCCATCAACATGAAACATAAAATAGGGAAAATCATGAGAGTAGGCAGTGAGACTCCTATATCGTCCCCTAATGTTGCAGTCAAGCAGCAAGTATGTATTCAACCATTGATAGACTTCATATATATATTTTTTTTTTTTGAGACGGAGTTTCACTCTTGCCCAGGCTGGAGTGCAATGGCACAATCTTGGCTTACCGCAACCTCCACCTCCTGGGTTTAAGCAGTTCTCTTGCCCTAGCCTCCGGATTAGTTGCCTTTATAGGCGCCCACCACCACACCTGGCTTTTTTGTGTTTTTAGTAGAGACAGAGTTTCACCATCTTGGTCAGGCTGGTCTTGAACTCCTGACCTCAGGTGATCCGTCCACCTTGGCTTCCCAAAGTGCTGGGATTACAGGCGTGAGCCACCACGCTCAGCCAAGTCCATTCATTTTATTGAAGCCCCATGTTAGACACTGGGAGACACACAAAGAGAGGGTTTTATCCCTAAGGAGCTTATAGTCAAGGTGAAAGAGAAACATATAAACAGGATTATTGAAGAGTACCAGGACCAAATTAGTGGTGGAGACATAGGATCCCAGAGTAAGGATAAATCACTGTGGGTGAATGGTCAGGGGACACTTTGCAAACGTGGTGGGAGTTGAGCTGGGTCTTCAAAAATAGGTTAGATATAGGTAATTGGAGCCGAGTGGAGAGAGGCTTTCAGGAAGTCCAAGGAGGAGATAGAGGCGGTGGCATAAAAAGGCAGAGAAGTGAGGCATTTGGGGTGGCTAAGGTGAATGGATGGCTTTGACCTAGGATCACAGGGGAGTGCCTGAAGACAGAGCAGTCCTGGGTTATAGAAAGGTAGGCCAAGGAGGAGCTTGGGTTTGTTTTGTGGAACCTAGAGGGCTGAAAAGTTTTTGATAAGGAAGGTGATGTGATAAAACTGTAACTTTAGAGAGATACCAGCCATCCTCCTTTTTTCCTGAACACAGGCTAGGTCCACCCCTCACGTCTGAGCTCCTATCTCCAACTCTGCCCTTTGTTTCTAGGGGATGAGTGTACCCTGCGTCAAGATACTGTTAATTCTCCTTTGATGCTCTTTTTTACCCATTTCCTGCTTGCAAGAGTGGGAGCTGGATTTTTATCATGGCTCAGGAGACATAAAGATGTGTAAGTTTCTACCCCTAATACTTGGCTTTCAGCACCCTATGAAGGGTGTCTATTAATTTCATTCTACTCAAGTTAATATTTCACAACCTCATTATTTAAAAAGCTTATTAAATAGTTCACAGAGAACCATTCTGTCTCCACATTTGAACTATAACACATAAAATATTTGGTATCCCCCAAATCTGTTTGCTTTCTGACAAAAAAAAAGTTCTTAAATGATTTTCTTACTTATCCTCATTACCTACAGATCTTCTAAGTTAGAATTTTATTTCTTGTATAATACAGAAAACTAACAATTACAATGAAAAAGAATCAAATAGGATTAAATCCATAGGTTTAAAATACACATTGGACTGTGAGCTTCATCATATTTATTTCCAAGTACAAATAGTAGTAATTACTTATGAATTAATTAACAAATATTGAATGAATGAATAAAAACCAAAGTCAACAGCCAAAATGCATGTCACCAAGATGAGCAAAGGCATGCAGATTCATATTGAACTATGTTTACTGAATTCCCAATATGTTTCAGACATAATGTTAAGCACTTCCGCAATTACTCCTTTTATGACTTAATGAGTGTTACAATCTTATTTCAGGCATGAGCAGCCTGCGGTATGAAAAATTAAGTAATTTACCCAAGAAGTAACAATCAGATGTGTTAACTCAAAGCCTGAGTTTCTTTGCTAAAGTTTTTACCAAATTTATCTAACCATAACAAATACCTAAGTGCTGATTCCTATAGATTCCCAGACCTCTCCTCAGATTCTGACTCAGTATTTCACGGGGTCAGGAATCTTTACCATATGTCACCCATTATTCTGAGGACCATTCCAAGGGTCTTCAGTCCCAGCTGCCCATTAGAATTATTTTAGACGTGTTTAAAATTCCAGGTGACTTGCCCGCACCCCCCACCACCAAACAAATCAATAAGAAGGGAATACCTGGACATCAATTTTTTTAAGCTCTCCAGGTTATTCCAATGGGCAACCATAGCTGAGAATGACTGAGTTCAGAGAAGACAGGACAGGAATAAAAGAAGGCTTATTAAACCATTTGTTTTCTGTTCTTGTGTTAATTCACTTAGGATAATTGCCTCCAGCCACATCAGTGTTGCTATTAAGAACATGATTTTATTATTTTTTATGGCTGTGTAGTATTCCATGGTGTATATGTACCATAATTTCTTTATCCAATCCACTGTTGATGGGCATCTGGGCTGATTGCATGTTTTTGCTATTATAAATAAAGCTGTGATGAACACATGGGTTCATGTGTCTTTGGTAGAATGATTTGTTTTCCTTTGAGTATTTATCCAATAATGGGATTGCTGGGTTGAATAATAGTACTGCTGAAATTGAGAAATATCCACCTGCTTTCCACAGTGGCTGAGCTAATTTACACTCCCTCCAACATATAGGGTTGCATATGCATAGGCTTGTTCTGAAAAAAAAAAAAAAAAAAAAAAAAAAAAAAAAAAAGCAAGGAGATATCAGTGGATAACTCAAGGGGGTGGTAATGAGGGCTGAGGGTGGGGCTTATGCAGAGAGATTAAAATTTTCCCTTTGTATCTTTCTGTATGTTTTGATTTGTTTCATATTCAAATATCACTTTTAAATTAAAAGACAACCTAGTTTAAAAAAAAAGAAAAAGAAGAATCATTTGTCGTAATTGTGTATTGTATTTTCTATTAAATTAGTAGATTATAGTTTCTCTTGCCACAAGGGGGGAATGGGTAATTATGTGAGATGATGGATATGTTCATTTGTTTCACTATAATAACCATTTTACTGTATACAATACATGTGTCCTATAACATCATGTTGTATATTTTAAATATACATAATAAAATTTATTTTTAAAAAAATTAGAAGAAAAAGATTTGTGATAAGTGATTAGTGGAAAGAAATTGAGGGCTGTCAAAGGTGGTAGGGGATGTGAGGAGCAAAGAGAAAGATCTGGGATTCATCATGGAAGCAACTGAGCAACTCTAAAGTTAAATAAAGCTAATACATACGTAGGCATTTAGCTTTCATATAAAGAACATGTTTTGTTCCTATGGAAGTTAAAGCAATTTTTACCTATTCATATATTTATCCTTCCTAGCGAAGATCAGAAATTTCTATCTTTGTTTCTTCAACATTCTTACTTTACAAGTGGGAGCACCTGGGCACACGGGGGGAAATGAAGTCACTTTGGACTTCAGGTATGGGGCCGGGTGAGGTCACCTGGTGTTAACTCTCTAAACTGGTTCCTAGGCTTTCTTTGCTCCCCTGTTGTATTAACTACTTCATAGACAACTGTGATCTAATATTTGAAAGAACAGCAACATGCTAATACCTTGATGTGATCTGTCATCCAAAATAATTTGAGACAAACTAATTCTGAAGAAAATGTATGTTGTACTTTTATAGTCACAGGGATAACTTTTGTAACATGCCATATGCATATCGAGTCTGTTTCCAACAGGATGAAAACAAAGAGGAATTTAAGTGTAGAAATTATATGTATCTGTATAATTTGAGGGTGGGAACATTTTGAAGTTGTTGATTGCTATTAAGCAAATGCGGCATTCTTTGGCGAATAAGTAGCATCCAAAAGAAAAACCGATATTCTCCCTCCCACCTTCCGCGCCTGAGCAGCCTTTCACCCTTACTTAATGAAATGGAGCCGTTGATGCCTTTAACTCCTCTTTCATTTAATCTCATTAATGCAGTCTGTTGGGATTGTAGTTGTGGGTTAACGCAGGGGCAGTCGTCAGATCTCCAGTGAAAAGTGTCATATTTTTCAGTTACACTTTTAATTGCTACGTCAAAATGTGTGAGAGCCAGCTCAAAACTAAAGCTGATGCCACTGGTGAGTTTTACATTTTCTTCTTTCTTCTGACATTTAGCTGTATGGACCATCCTCCAGGCAAGGAAGTAAGCGTTTATAAGGTCTCAGCAAAATACATTGATAGCTAGGTGTGGGGCAAAAAAATTTTTTCTGACTCAGGAATGTATACAATGAAACCAGTCACTCAGGCTTAATTTTACACTAGAGAATATATTTATACATAAATACTGTCATATCCTGGAGTGAACTACCAAATGCATAAGTTTTGAAATTAAATTCAAGTAGTTATCCGCCATATCACACTAACATTAGGTTAATCATATGAACACCCCTCTCACAGTTTGTAGCTTTGATTTTGGTCATTGGCATTGCTATCGTGATCATTTTACTTTTTTAAGTTTTAAAAAAAATTCATTCGGTGTATATATATCTGGTACTGGATGATTTATAATATGTAAGAAATATATTTACAAAAATAATAGCTATTTGGTTGAATATTAACAATGAGGTTAATTATGTTTGAGATTTTCTCCTAAATTTTTTACAAGTTAGTGCATAATTCCCTAGACACATATTATCTCATAACATAGGCAGATTTGGAGAACTTGTTTTAAGAATATTTCAGGGTAAAAGGATTTATTGTCATTTCCTTGCTTGTACTAGATAGCAATGCACAACAGTTGGAAATATTAAAATGTAAATTGATATAATTGTTTCAAATAATATAAACACTACATTGTTCAAAAAAATTACTAATCATACTTACACACCTTTAAATATAAAAACTCAGAATCACATCTTTCCACAATGTTTATAGTTTCCTGGTGCTTGTATTTGTAAGGGAAAAAGTAGATATTGTTTCTATGCAATTACCAATTTCAAAATATATGCATTTAAAGATTTTGTTGGTGAAATAAACTATTGCCAGCAGATTGCAGTTCTGACCTCAATGGAGTCTTTAAGTAACTATTTATCCTTACTACTGACAGATTTAGTCAGGATACTGTTGCTGCTGTTGTTGAGAAATTAATAACACTAGACATACTAACGTCTATGTACTTAATCCTCTTTGAGCCTGAACCACAATTAGCAGAGCTCACAGGTGAACAGAAATGTGTTTTTCTCCTCTGATATGGTGTTTAAAAAAACATGAATTTATCTTCTACTGTAAAATTACATAACGAATAGTGGTCAATTTTAGGAGTTTATGTGCACATACATGCACACAGTATTCACTTTTTAAATGAACTATATGAACAAATGTGTTTCTACATTTTGCAAAGTGAACCAGATATTTCTCTTTCTCCTCTTAAGTTTTAGTAGAATAAAAATGAATATCCCAAATTAAAGCTGTAGCTTAAAAAAAAATTTCCTACAATAAAATACTTGGTGCTATGCTTAGTAATTTCTAGTTTTCAGTAATGTCTTTCTCGTCTAATATTTGCCCCCCCAAAAAAAATCTCTCCCTCTTTAGAAGTAATTCAAATGTCTAAAAAATGGAAAAGAAATTTTTTCTACCAATTCAATTCACATGGTAGTAACAAAATGCCTTTGTTATAAATCAATGTATAAGAAATGCAGCAACCACAAATATCTCCATTCAGATGTTAGTATAGGTCACCAAAAGATCATTACATTGTTCTACCTGTATAAAAAGGAACCTGAAAGATGGAAATTTGTTAAAGTGAAATTGGAAAATTATATCTTTTCTCACTACTTTTTGTGACAATTATACAGAGGGATGTTGTCTCTGGGAATAAGGAACAGTCAACATGTTCATACAACAACTTCACCAGCTTACATAAACACTGAATAAAGCTGTTAGGGATTATGGGCAGCATGGTGGATCTGATGCGCTCAAATATAAGATATCTTGGGTCCCATAATATTTAGGATTATGCTGGTAATCTCTTTAGAGAAAGTGTGCAGTATCAGCAGAACAGGCACTTCAGTCTTTGAGGGAGCTATTCACTAATTCTATATTTGCTGGGAAACTAAGCCTCCACCTCAGTCCCACACTGACACCGGGCCTCTATGACATTTTGCATAGGGCGAAATTATAAAAGGGAGCTTCTAGAGTGACATTCTAAATTATCATTTTGCTCCTGAAGCAATTTCTGGTGTGGTGTGCAAATGAGAATACTTTCCTTTAAATTCTGTATGTCTCCTTTTTAAAAAGGCCATTATGGGTAAAGACGAACTAAACTCAAACCTGCCCTTCTCTAACCTCTGAAGTCATTCTCATGTCTAGAGATGAAATAAGAACTAAAATTGTCTCTTCAATTCTATCATCATTTCCTTTCATTTCAAGATTCAATTCTGAAGCCATGAAGGCTAAATTGCAAATTTGCTGGAACACAAATTATATAACAACGTAATTTTCAATGCAAAAATTGACAATATATTTAGTCATTGTAGCATCATCTATTTTCAAAAATTCAGAGCTCATGTAGATAATCCAATCACACACACAAACACACTGGTGCGCATGCCTATAAAAATGTCACCTATGTTCTATAGTTTGTGTATGTATTTGCTTCATCAGTGGCTAAAGGCACATTAAAAATCAAAAGTGTCTATAAACAAGAAAAAGCGACAAATAATACTACTGTTTGGTTTTTGGCTACCCAGGCAAATTATTAAGATGTTATGAACCAGTTAAATAAAGTTATTATTAGATTAGGAAGAGAAACGTTAAGATAGTACTAACATTCTAGTCTTACATGGACATTGTCTTAGTGTGGGGTGATAATCCACTCAAATACCTCATGAGAAGGTATGATGTCACTTTTATTTTACAAGTTTTCTTTTTTCTAAAACAAAGGCATTGAAATTGGATTCTGATCACTATATTTTAGAACATATCCTCCTTCTTTTCTCTGCCGTCCTGGCTCGTCTCTTTTTTTAACACACTCAAGAGATTTAGTCTTTCTTTGCCACCAACCAGAAAAAGACATGTTTTGCTTATTTTCAAACTCTCTGAACAAGTGCTGAGAACTTCAGGAATGGTCTCTACTGCGTCTATCAATGAATACAATGAGAAACAGCATGTATGCTTTCTACCTCGAACTTCAGTTACTTGACTTTGGCTCGTGTGTGTGTGTGTGTGTGTGTGTGTGTGTTTTGTGGGGGCTGAGGGGACAAAAGTTATTGTCCCAGCCTTTGAATTGTCTGACTCCAAGTTTAATGGCTTTATATTTATGTTTAGCAAGCATGCATTGTATCCTTGGTCTTTTCAAGTATTCTTAAAAACAATGCAGTGTAGGAATTACATCTCAGAATACAGTGAGTAACACTTGGTTGAACTATATAAAATTGGCAATATTGACAATTTTTTGTACAAAAAGATGGCAATTTCATGTGATTCAACTTGATATATGGTTAGTAACTACGGATTAAGGCATGATTGGTAATTCTGGAAGCATTCCATTTAACCCCATTAACTCCCCAAAATAAACATGTAATCTGGAATTTTGCTCTTGTTATTAGATTTCCTTCTCTCACTCTTTAGCCACCACCTTTAAGATTGCCCTTTTCTCATAGATATTTGCTACTTGAAACTTGCTCACTTTCCAAGACCCGGCTCAAAAGCCACCTCAGCACCAAACCTTCCCAGTTCCCACAGTTAATATTAACATCGTCTTCTTTCAGGTTCATTCAGCAGTCATCTGTCTGCCCTGCATTCAAGTGATGTAAATGTGTGTGGCTGTAGAATTATAGTATTCATTGAGAAGACAGAAACTTGGTTTTGCACATAACTGTGGTCTAAAATAAACAGATACTGACTGAATTGGTTGTTCTTAAAGTACTCCTTACTTGTTTTTGCTGGACCATCTCAGATACTCCTCACTACCTCCAGCAAAAGAAGCACCTCTGTGCAATTCACTTTTTTGAAAAATTAATAGACATTTTTAGTACCACTTTAGATTTATAAAATAATTGAGCAGATAGTACATAGAGGTCTATGCGCTTACCAACCTCCCAAACAGAATTTCCTCTATTATTATTTTGCATTAGTATGGTATACTTGTTACAACTATAAGCCAATGCTGATACATTATTATTAATCATTTATTCTTTGTGTTGTACCGTTCTATAGGTTTTGACAAATCTGTAATGACATGTACCTGTCATTATAGTATTGTACAGAATAATTTCATTACCCTATCAATTCCCTGTCCTTCACCCTCTTCCCCAACTCCAAACCCATGGCAACCAGTGATTTTTTAAATTGTCTTTATAGTGTTGCCCTTTCAAAAATATTATGTAGTTGGAATCAGACTGTCTTCTTTCACTCAGTAATATACAACATATATTTTCATGGCTTAATAGCTCTTTTTATATTGTCAAATATAAACCAATACTGATACAATATTTCAATGCACAAATGTACCACAGTTGGTTTGTCTGTCCACCTGTTGAAGGACATCTTAGTTCTTTCCAGTTTTTGGTAATTATGAATGAAATCACCACAAATATTAATGCACAGGTTGCCATGTGGACATAAGTTTTCAGTTCAGCAGTAAATGCCTAGGCACACAATTGCTGGGTGGTTTGGTAAGACTCTGTAGCTTTGTAAGAAACTGTCAAACTGCCTTCCAAAGTGGGTGTACCATTTTGCATTCCTAGCAGCAACAAGCAAGCATTCCCTTTGCTCGGCATCCTCTCCAGCATTTGGTATTGTCAGTTTTTTAACAGGTATACAGTGGCACCTCATTGCTTTTAATTTGCAATTCCTTAATAACATGATATTCAGCATCTTTTCATATGCTTATTTGCCATTCATAAATCTTCTTTGGTAAAGTGTCTATTCAGATCTTTTACCCGCTTTTTGAATTATAAGAGCTCTTTGTATATTTTGGATTCAAGTACTTTATTACATACATGTTTCATAATATTTTCTCTCAGTCCTGACTTGTCTCTTCATTCCCTTAATGCAATTTGATTTTTAACAAAGAAAAGCTGTATTTTTTTTTCATTTTCTGAAACGTTATTTTTTGCTCTTCCTGAATTATTCTCCAGGGAATAAACTCTGCCTGGTCATTCCAAATTATCTCTGAGACCTGGTTTTGTGGTGTGCCTCATCCCTGTCCTTCAGCAAAGGTGGTGCTGTATAATCAAGAGCTTTCTGTTGAAGGCGTTAACTAAATGTAGACTACAGAAAGGGGTTTAGAAAAAAATTAAGAAACTCAAGAGAGATGACTTTTATTACTGAAGCAAATAATTCTGTTTCTTCTTTTCATAACTGGATAAAATGAGCTATCAAGTAGAGTACATCTCTTCATATAGAGAGATACATACAGATAAAGTTCTCATCACAGAGAGGAGAGGTTTGAGAACAGAGATCCTGAGGAGTAAATTATAGAATATACTGTTTTCTTCTTTTCTAGAACCTCTCAAATGTTACCCTGTATATGAAGCACAGAGATACTGTCACAACCCAGATGCTTATAGGCCCAGGGTAGGAGGGAAATGCTGCTTTTCTATCAGGCACCCAGGAAAGGGCAATGCTACTGGTCAGGGACCACACTTTGAGTCAGCAAGTCTCAGGGGGGCAAACCACAGATGAGAGGAATGCCATGAGTATCCATCATGACCCTTGAACTCTGTGTTAACTAATCTGCCTCAATGAGACAGGACAGCTTTTCAAATGTTGCATTTCCAGAATTACCATGAATAGCTAAAATGAGTTCATTGCTTGGTTCCAGAAAACTGCTTGGTCTCCCTTATGCTTACCAAAAGAATAAACTTTGTACCACTCGATGCTTAAAACAGAAAAACTGTATGTTTTTAAACCTTCTCAAGAGAGCCTTTGTCAGTACTGAGTATCCAGGCAGTGAGCTAGTAGCCACAACCTCAAGAGTGAGTGTACAGAAGAGGGAGGTGGCATTACCAAGCATTGCTAGAATGTAGAGAAAATGTGGGTGCAGGTAACAATCATTAAATCTATAAAGGAAACCTGGTACACTGGGTGTTAATTACAGTAACATAAGACATTTCTGGAATATGCCATCTTCTCTTTTTTCTGCCTCATCAGTTAGTGACTAGAGTTTTCTCTTTTTCTTTTCTTCTAGCCCTTCCATTACCCTACTGCCTTTATAATCAAAAGGAAAACCCTAAAAGGCAAAAGCAGAAACCACTTTTCCAGAATCCAGGGAAACTTAAAATTCCATCAGTTCTTAGAGTTGCTAAAACTGTGACTACCTGGACGTTACAGAACAGTGCTTCTCAAACTCGAATGCTAGCCTCAGGATCTTGTTACAAAGCAAATTCTGATTCCACTGGTCTTCAGTGAGTCATAGTAGTCTGCAGTTCTACCATGATCCTTGGCAATGCCAATGCTGCTGATCTGTGGTCCACACCTTGCGTGGTCATGGAAGACACTCACTCAACCTGAATGACGTCAGGTCCCATACACAAGTTATCCCATTATAATTAAAATGTTGACAGAACAAGATTAATTTAATGGGAATTAATTTTTAAAGTATGAATTTAAAGCCACTACAACTAATAAAAGTGATTTACTTTGTTTACAAGGGGAATATTTAACTTACCAGTATTTTCTCTTAATGATTATACTAACTACTGTTGTTGTTTGTTGGTCTCATGTTCTGTTGTTTCCGTCCTCTGGGGAGTGAGCAAGCAACCCTTCAGGAGTAAATGTTCACATGTAAAAGATAAATCAGCCTCTTTTGTGATAATCCTACACATTATGCCTTTGAAAATGATCTTCCTTTGTCATTATTGTATGGTAGAAATTTTTTTCTTAATCTGGCTTTCAATGGTAAATGGTATAGGGAATTAAAATAATATAAAGCCAAATGTATCTTTAAGTTGTTTAGGAGCTATCAGCCAATTGGAACAGAAAACTCACACAGCCCACCGCCCAGAGTATTACAGAGAAGACCCCAGATGCTCATAGACACAAGAGTGTTATAGTAGAAATTAGAGTACACTGAATTTCATGCACTGTATTGCATATTTAGGCAGGAAGCTGATGTTGAGTTGCACCCTGTACTGATGAGATACACGTGGGTACACTCCAATGTCAGGAATCTTTTAGAATCACCACCGTCTACCGTAGTATAGGGGCCAAAGTTCAAGACTTTTACATTTGTCCTCTGAGGATCTTATTTTTCCAAGTTGCCTTCTCACCCTAGCCTTGGGGCTACTGTCTGATGAATCACAGTTACAGTGGAATTGGGTCCCAGGGATACCTGCTGCACCACACACCTTTGGGTTTGTCATTAGGTGACATCAGAATATTTTGTACCTAATAGAGATAGATACTTATCAGTCTGCCAGTGAGAGAGGGAAAGAGTACAAACAGAGATTTTTAACTTGGATTTGTCACAGATGGTAGATGAGATACAATTTGGGTAGATGAGATACAACTTGGGCTACTGAGACCATCTGCAAAAGGATTTTTAACCAAAATAGTCATCTTTATTGGAAATTTCTACATGTGTAAATTGTGCTTTACTCAGACATTAAGAGATTTAATTGCACTGCCCACTTTTAGCATAACTGTAAAATTATGGGAAACAGAAGCTGACAGGTGAATCCAATGTCCAGGAATGTAGTCTGTGTCGAGGAATACAGTGTCCGATGTGCAGGTATCATAGACAGGTCAGATGCTCCTTTTTTCCCTTAAGGAAAAAAAAAAAAGAGAGAGAGAGAGAGAAAGAGAGAGAGAGAGAGAGCAGAAAACAAAGATGCTACAAGTATAGCCCCAAATGAAAAGTGAGAAAACATAGAATTACTGGTGACTCTTTAAAATGTTCAGATCTGGCCTGTCCCTGGGTTTGTCCACCTTCACAGGTGATTTGCATGGTAGAGAAAATTTCTAGCTAATAACTTAACTCATTTAATTCCCAATGGGAGCCTCATCATATACAAGAATCACTTGGGGGCCTTTTCCAAAATATATATCCCCCCACAATCTCTGATTTATTCTCTTTACCCCAAATATGAAAAATTGGACCCAGCATGGTGGCTCACACCTGCAATTCCAGCACTTTGGTAGGACAAGGCAAGTGGAGCACTTGGGGCCATAAGTTAGAGACCAGCCCGGACAACATAGCAAGAGTCTGTCCCTACAAAAAATGTAAAAATTATCCAGGCATGGTGGTACACACCTATAAGGTTCCCAGATACTCAGGAGGCTGAGACCGAAGGATGTCCTGAGTCTGGGGGTTTGAAGCTGCAGTGAGCTATGATCATACTGCACTCCAGCCTAGATGACAAAGTGAGACCCTGTCTCAAAAAAAAATTCATATTGCCTATTGCCTCCTTTATATGGAGTATATCAAATCTTGTGATTGTACTGAAATAAATGAAATATTTAGAACCACTGCTTTAAGGAGTTATAAAAGTTCTCCTTTAGACACCATAGAAAACAAAGTATGACCTTGTCCCTGTCTCCAATGGATTTAAAATGCCCAGAACATAGAAATGGCCAAGTTTGAATTGTAAGAGTCGGCATGGTGAAAATTGAGAGCCATAAGAGCAAACACATTAAAAATGTTTCCTCCAACTAGAAAGTACCTGAAAGTTATATTATTACTACTATTCTTAATGGATGCCTTTAAGAGTTAAGGTATTTTGTTGCATCAAAGTGGTGCATTTTCTAGTTAACTCATTAGCCTGGATTCATTTATATAATCTTAACACCTGCTGTTACTAGCAGAGGTTCTGAGGGGGCAGAACTAAAAACGTGTGTGTTTCCATACGCAGGAAGAAGTGAAAACATGGTAGTTTTATGCAAAGTTACGGCAAGGAACTCTAAGCAAGGAAGGGGTTTTCAGGGGGATTCCGGGGAGAGAATCACTATCTTCAAAGAGGAAGACAAATTTTGATTATTCCATAATTGTTGAATAGTATCTGCCTGCCAGATTACAAGATAGTAAACTAATTGTACTTCATCAATTGTTCTAATATAAAGTAAAGCAGCAAATTATTTTAAATTTTTCATGACACTCTTTGACGCTGTCAGAATATTGTTTCAAAAAAGATAAAACTACATAGCATTAATTTTATAAACAAAAACATTAACACATAAAATTTAAACCATAGTCTCCACAAAGGATTACCAATAGAAAAATATAAGTGAAATCAATATATAAGAAATTGAAAAAATGAAAAATGAATAAACTTCACTCGAGGCATCTCTTAGGACATTTCAATTCTTCCAAGTTTGTCTCTTGGAGAACACTATTGTTGAATAAATCCATGAGTCAAGCAAAAGTACAAAAGTCAAACTCTTCCTCAGTTACCTTCTATTACCTTCATTGTATCAGCTGGTGAGGTCCAAACAACCAAATCCTCCCAAGATGTTCAGTTGGAAACCACAGTCAGTAGCATGTCACTAGATCTGTATTCACTGCAAGACAATTCCACAAGAGGCTATGCCTATTATAATGGCAATATATTTAGAAATGGCAGACATTGGAGCAATAACAGGATTTGCTGTTCTAATCAGTGTGTGAAATGCTGTCTGGAAGATGTACTTTATAAAATACATAATATAGGCTGGGTGTGGTCACTCACACCTGTAATCCCAGCACTTTGGGAGGCCACGGTGGGCAGAGCACAAGGTCAGGAGACAGAGACCAGCCTGGCCAACATGGTGAAACCCTGTCTCTACTAAAAATACAAAAATTAGCTGGGGGTGGTGGCAAGTGCCTGTAGTCCCAGCTACTCGGGAGGCTGAGGCAGGAGAATTGCTTGAACCCAGGAGGTGGAAGTTGCAGTGAGCCAAGTTTGCACCACTGCACTCTAGCCTGGCAACAGAGCGAGACTGCGTCTCAAAAAAAAAAAAAAAAAAGAAAAGAAAGAAAGAAAAAAATAGTATAAACCATAAAGCTGTGGCTCAGAAGCAGTTTATTTCCTTACATGAAAGAAAATAAAAAGAATTAGTACTTTAAATGACTTAAATTTACCTTTACCTAGAATAAACCTGATGATTTATTCTATCAAAATAAGTTAAAATGGTAACAGATTTCCAAACCGGTAACCTCTTTCCACACACAACTATACACGTATACAATTTTAAGTGACTTATTTCTCTGTAAAAATACTGTTAAGATGTTTATAGTTCTTCAGGATTACATGTTGAGCCAGGTTTATAAATATGTATAAATATGCAGATGCTCTATCGAATGTTCCTTATCTCATTTGTATTTCCAAAGTTGTGTAAGACAACCTCTGTGGCTTTCAAAAACATCTTGTCACACTCCAGGGGGCAAATTACCTCTATTTTCATTTCCTTTAAAGTTAGATCATTTTATAATTAAGAACTTATTGAAGCAGATTCTCCCCACGTGTAAGCTACTCCCTGGGGAGTAATTTATGCAAAGAGACCCTCTGACTTAATATCATATAAGCTAAAAACTATACAATGGACACCTGAGATTTTCAATCAATTTTGTAATCATTATAAACAATCCAACATTTGAAAGGTTACTGCTAAAAAAAAAAAAAAAAAAAACCCATAGTACAATGATTTGCAGTGTCATTAGATTATTTTTAAATGAAAAGATCTTTGATAAAGTAATAATAATGTGGCTTGTCATATTTTGTATCCAAAAGTTTTAGAAAACCAGTTAACCATAATGATTGATGTCATGATGATGATGGTGGTGAAGGATAACATTTCCTAGCTCTTTACCGTTTTAAAAAGTGCTTCTACGTAAAATATCTACTTGATCCTCACAAATCTATGAAGTTTATCGGTTAAGCTTTGTAAACCAGAAAACAAAAGATCAGAGATTTTATCTTGGCCATGGCTCCAATCATTAACAGACTAAGGACTGGAGTCCAGAAGGACAGAACAGAATAACATCCAATTATTTTTCTCCTATCACAAAACCTTAAAAACAAACACTAGTTCACGTAATCTAGAAGGTAAAATAAAAAGAAATGAATAGAACTTAGTCTCATAAGTATTTTAGATGACTTTGTCTCTTCTGATGTTTTTTGTCATTAGCTCTTTAGTTGGAGCTATTGGAGTAATAAAGGAATTTAAAAATGTAATCTTATTCTGTCTGTGTGGGAGTCCAATAATGGTTACTGAATGAAGCAACAGGATATTTAGGTAATTTCTGGTTGTCACTTCCCAAATCAACTCAAAACCAGAATTTAACAACCTGGATCTTCAATTTTTTCTCACATGAAAAGTAGGCACAACACTGAGGATTTTTTTGCTTACAAAGATGATTTGAAATTTCTATGAAATATTAACTTTTTAAAACAATGTACTACCCTAAAGCTAAGTATTGTCTTTTAAAAAAAAAAAAGTAAAATAATAAGAAAAAGAGGGCACTGTCTTGCATTTATTTGTTTTGTATATTCAAGAGTGAGAAACTGTAGAAAAGCATCCAAGTGGCAGATTGATATACAAAGCATTTTGAAGTATATTTTGCATAATTATTTTAAATTGGAAGAGGAAATAGCAGATCTTCCTAGTGTGTATAATTTTAACAACTCTTAGAATACTATCAGACATAGGAATCACTACATTCTAAATAAATTTTATCTCATGGATTCGTCCATAACCTGTGTGCTGATTATCTAAAGTCATCTTGCCAAGAGGTTCTATATACATACAGGACATTACAACAAATTGCACGCATAGAAAATGGAAATCCCATGCCCCACCATATTCCGCCAAAGTAACTGCCTTACCAACAACCCCATTTTTGTCAAACCTACTACCTTCTCTCTCTCAGCCTCTTGGCTAGGAAACTAGAAGTCACCTTTGACTCTTCATTTCATGTCTGTTCCCTTTTTAAAGTCATATAATCTAGCTTCTACCTTTGAACCATCTTTCTGTTTACATCTTCCTCTCCATTTATCCTGCCACTGATGTAATAAGCCATGTTTTCATCACCTAACACCCAAGTTAGGAATGATCTGTAGTTGGTCTTCTGCTTGTCTATGGGTAGCCTGCCAAACACACCTCTCTAAGGTGAGTTACTTTCATTTCAGTTTGTATTAAATTCATATTTAGTACCCTCATAATTTATCTTGATTTCTCCGTGCATTAATTTTATTTTATTAATTAGATTATTAGTATCATTAGCACATCTTATCCTCCATCAACAGCCTTTATTATCTTAGAGAACATACAGAGCATGCTCAGTAAATATTGGACTGATTTACTATTGGCATTTTTGTAAGTAAACATCCAGCCACACAATTTATACAGCTACCACGCACTGCCCCCTCCCAGAGTTTTGCTTTAATTTATGTATTTATTTTAAATATCATGGAGATAAAACCATGTGAAAGCTCTCAGGAACTTAATGTTTCAAGTGCAAAACAAGAAAAGAAAATCTGTAGGTTCAAGGGCTTTTTGAGTCATACTATTTTAAGGTCAAGTTCAAAAAGGAGAAAACAGTGACTGCAAGACTTTGGAAAACTGGGTTCTGGCTACATTTTTTTAGTTTGAGAAAAACGAAGCCAACAATGGCAGATAAATGTACTTTCACTCAGAAGAAGCTTAGGACACCCACTGAAATAATAATGCATGACTCCCACACCACCACCCACATGCCCAGTAATTTGAAACACAAACATCACTGCAGAGATAGATGGAAAAGAGATAGGAAGAGTGAAGGGAGAAAGAAAATTTTTTACGCTCAAAATGTCTATTTTCTCCTTTCAGCACAAATCGAAGTGATACCATGCAAAATTTGTGGCGATAAGTCCTCTGGGATCCACTACGGAGTCATCACATGTGAAGGCTGCAAGGTATGGGACTTTCATACTGCACGGTTCTGTATTTGCCTCAGGCATCTGTATACCTCACAAGACATGGTGACACCTTTTTAAAGAAGGCTTGCTAAAGGATTCTTCTCCCTGCTGCTGACATTCAGGAATTCTCGTGTGGTGGGTGGGAGGGTTGATTTTCTGTTTCTTTGCCTTTTACCTTTTTGTTAATTGTCTAACTGGTCAGCAGCTCCTTAAAAATGGATACGTATTTAAAACCTTGAATTATTCACATTTCCAGAGTTATAAATACTGAATTTTGCTGTTTTAGCAGTATTGTCTCCAGTAAATGTCAAGGCACTTATTACTACATTTAAAAACTAACGGTTAAAATAAAGATTATAAACTAATAGATATATATTTAACTATCTGCTTGAGAAAGAGGAAGTCAAGGTAACAGCTGCAATATGCATATGGCCATCCTTTATTCTCACATTCCAGGAAAAAAAAAAAGAAAGAAAACTAGAAGCATGGTATGTTAGAAGCCGACAAGATTATCTCTAAATCGACTAAAATTCACCTGCCCCCACCTCTTCATTTTCCAATGAGGTCCTGAGGTATAAACAAGATCATGTCATTTGATCAACATCACTGATTCAGACAGTGAAGAACAGAGCATGGCCAAAAACACAGAGTTTTTCAGTCTCAGTCCAGTGTTCCCCTAACAGACAGACTCCACCCATTTTTCCCGTGGCAAACTAATTCCTGTTAGCAAGTTGCTTTCCTAAATAAAAAGCTAGAGGAATAGCAGTAAATGTAGACCTAATCTAAAATGAGAAAACTTTGAAATTTAACGGTAAGTTTTAATAATGAATCCTTAAAAGGAAAGAAAGTGAGTGTGAGAGACACAATAGCCAGGGGAAATCAAAACAGTTCTACAGCTAACGTTAAAGGACCATGTGTAACCAGAACAAATAAAATGCAGCCACAGTCTAGGAGGGAAAGGTAATATGCCGGTACAGTTGTTGGCCACAGCAATTATCATTTTGATCAAAGATACAAGCAAAGTGAATTATTCTTTTAAGGCCAGTAAACTGAGGGAGTATCGTCACAGAGTCTAAGATTTAATCTTAATCTCAACAGGCTTTCAAATATAAAGAAGGCAAAACATACTGTAACTGTCAAATACTGGTACTGTGTGAAAAATTGACAATGTCTTCATAATAGTCTAAAAATGCATGAGTCCTAGAATTAAAACCAGACAAAGAAAAGAAAAGAAAATAAATAAGAATAAAAAGGGAGAGGGAAGAAGAGAGGGAGCGTAGTAGTAACTAACATACTAACCTGTCAACACACTGCTGTACTTTAGTGATTAGTAATAATCTGTTTGTGAATATCATGAGATGCTCTTCGCATTCTGTTCCTCTGCAGACCTATAATTAAGAATTGCATGTTATTCACCCTAATGCAATTTTTAAGCTCATCGAGAAGAAACAATAAGCAAAATTATGTCAGCAATTCGTTACCCTTCTTGAATAAGTTATTACATCCTCTAGGCAGATAGACAAATAGTTTTCTTCATAAACAATAATAATTATGAAGTCATAATCCTCTTCCTTGAAAGTATTTCCATTGTTCTATTGGCTTGCTATGCAATCTTGAGAACTCTGGTTTATAATATCTACTGAAACTGATTTTTAGATCAATGTCAAAATGGAGATGCTTGGCATTTGATTGTATAAGCTCTATTTGAAAAATGTGTGATTTCAAAATATGGGGATATGTTCAAGTTAAAAAGCAAAATATTTTAAACAGTAATTTACAAAAAATTTCACTAATGCGCAAATAAAACCCAATAGGCCAACGGTCAAGAACAAATGTTATCCTTTCTATTTAAAAGAAGAATCCACAATCAAAGTAATTATGCTGTTATTATGAAGCATACTCTAATGTTTTAATTCATGGAAATCCCCACATTTGTAAATATGTTACATTTTTTCTGCAAATAGAAAACTTAAAATTTCTCTTCAGAATTTGATGTCAATGTCAGCACATTCAGTATTAACCTCTGAGTTTTCATAATACTGTTTTCAAGTCAACATAAACAACGCATTCTAAATAACATCAATTCAGCTTGTACACTTATTCAAATTCCTATTCACTCAAAAAAATTTGGAATGCAATCTCTTTTTCATGCCAAAAACCTCATTTGCAATAATGAACAACAGATAAGCAAGAAACACTTCGTAATTAATGTCAAATTGCTCTTAAATTAGGGCTGTAGCTGTGACTTCAGAAAAGTCCTTTCTGTCCTGTCAACCCTTTTGCTAAGTAGTACTAGAGTATCCAAAGATAAAAACCACACAATTCTGTCTTAAAATGTAAATTTCAAGTCATCTTTAATCAAGACTGATGGGCTGAGGTTATACTTTCTGACAGTTTTCAGGGTATATGAAGTGCATCATTTCAATCCCTAGGGGCTTATGTTTGATCTCTATTTTAAGGTGCTCTGTGAATTCAGTCAAACTGGACAGTCAGATGTCTCATTCTGCCGTCACTGGTTTATTAAATAAGGAATACACATGGATCTATGAGGATGAAACTAGTCCTTATTGTTGAATGGCTAAGCCAGTTGGGACTCTCTCTCTAAGGAGATCCTTGGCCATACCTCCATTTCTGAGATGCTTCACAGATTGACCAAGCTCTCTTCAATAATGCCATGCTGAGCCATATTGGAGTTCAAGACAAAAGGAATATCAATAATACAGATCCTTTCTTTAAATTATTGGGTATTTTTGCATTAATGTTGATTTTTAACACATTGTGTTAAAATACCGTTTTCTAAATACAAAAATTTTAGACAACCTTGAAATGTTGTGGGCAAGGTGATTGCCTCACTAGGCTCACCTAGCCCTGGCCCTGCTTCTTCATCCTGTAGATAGTTGAGGAAACACAGAAGCTGTTTGAGGGAAGTCAGGGGATCTATTCCAGGCTTCTCTGCAAGATAGGCATTGAGTCTACCCTTCCTGAACTTTTCTAGACTTCCTCCTTCCAAATGATGATGCTGTAGGATACCTTTTCCCAAAATTTCTCTTGGAAAGCCTAATGTAGACCATCATTTTGTTCATGATGCTTTGTACTTTTCCTTTTTTGCTCTAGGCAATTCAAGAGTAAAGAGTGATTAGGGAAATTGATGAGTCAATGAATGGATGAATGGTAACTTATCTATCTATCTTATTTTCTCCAACAGAGTTTTCTGTAAGACAACTAAGGAGAAATTTTTTAAAAATTAACTCAGCTGTGGATTTCTTTAGAGAAGCAGTGTATAGTCACTGGTAGTTCATTTTGTATGTGATGAACCCAAATGTACTTGCATGAAGACGTCTTACGCTGAATAGCGTGAGGCCAAGTAGAGACCATTCATTCAGTTTTGACTTAATACTTTTTGTTGTTGAACAGCTTATATACAATATTTTCTTTTTTCCAAGTTGGGGTTCATTATTTAAAACAACTTTGCATAGCCATTCATGGTGGCACACACCTGTAATCCCAGCTATAGGCTGAGGCAGAAGGATCACTTGAGTCTAGGAGTTTGAGGCCGCAGTACACTATGATCGTGCCTGTAAATAGCCACTGTGCTCTAGCATGAACAACAGAGCAAGACACCTCAAAGAGCTTAAAAAAAAAACAAAAAAAAAAAAACCACTTTTCGGCTGCATTCTAGCCAAATTCAAAAATTTTATGGTGGGGAAAAACGCATCTTAGAAACTAAGAAAACCATACCACATACTCCTCAGTGTTGCTTTTGCTTACCAATACTGCAAGTTCCTTACCACCACAACACTTGACACAAGCCTGTATGATTGTCCCCACCAAGTTCTGTCACGTTTGGTTTAGCAGTGACACTCTTCTTTGTTACTCCTTCCCCACTGTTCTTTGGGAGGCAGAAACTTCCGTTTATTTCTAAATAGAATAGCGCAGCTGCAAATGTCTTTCACAAACATTGATTCAAAGAACAAACAAATGAGTGAATGGGTAAATGAATGATACCTTCACATCTCTGCAGATAGCGTATATTTTCCCCAGCAGAAATATCTGCAAGCATACAAGAAGAGGTATCCAAAGAGCTTTAAAAATTAAACTCAGTTATGTTCACTGTAGAAAATGTAGCAAATGCATATGTTAATATTCTCTGTGTCCCTTCTTATAAATCTGTTTCCCTTTCCTTCTCTTTTTCCCTCAAGGGATTCTTTAGGAGGAGCCAGCAGAACAATGCCTCTTATTCCTGCCCAAGGCAGAGAAACTGTTTAATTGACAGAACCAACAGAAACCGTTGCCAACACTGCCGACTGCAGAAGTGTCTTGCCCTAGGAATGTCAAGAGATGGTAAGGCATTACCTTCCTGTTTCTTACGTAAGCTCTTTCAAATGGATGTTTTGCTGGAGTCTATTTAAGCCACTGGAAGAATTCTAGATGAGGGAATTGGGGAAAAGAAGAAAAGAAAATCACTGTGCTAGTAGTGCATTAAAAGGAAAAGTAAGAACATACAAAAATGTAGCATTGCCTATGAAATAAGAAGAAAGCAAAGACTTAACAATAGCTCAAGGAGCAACTTGTGCTAACTAGGTTTAGTGGAAGCCACATAGACCTAGGTTGAAGGTAACCATCTGTCTAGGTTTGCCTGCCAATGAGGGATGTCCAGGGACATGAGACTTTCAGACATAATGCCGGAAAGTCCTAAGCAAAGCAGGACTATATCTATGTTCACTGGGTAGGTCTGACCAGGCTTGCTTACTGTATGGAGACAGTAAGAAATTGCATATGCTTCTATGGGAAGCCAGAAAGTTCTGCTGGTTGGTCATACTACCCAGAGGAGGTTTTGAACTATCTGAGTCCATAATGAAATTTCCAAAGGCGAGAGCAGAAGTCCAAGTCTCAGAAGGGCTATGTAGGTGATGTCCTACTCAGAACATGATAGAATGTGCACTCCACCTTCATGCCCACCCACACTGAATGGCTTGGCTTCTCAAGGGAATATCTTAGAGTAATGGAAGAGGCCAAATAAACTTAAACAAGATGGGCAAAGAATTTCACCTAGCTTTTTTTCAGTCATTCATCCAAACAAATTCTTTCCCTGCTAACATTGGACACATCACCCCTGTATCATATTGTGAGTGGCCCTGAGTCATGGGGCCATTTCTGTCTTAGTCTCATGAAAACCTCAGGCTCTGGTTAAAAGTACGCACCTAAATGTTTGTTGAATGATCCATGGAAATCTCTTCTACCTAGAGCCTCAGACATAGACAACGCCCCTGACACTTTCTGTCTTTGTGTAAATCACTGTGGATTCTGGGCCTCTGGTTGCACTTCCTCTGGTAAAATTCAAGGCTGTATAGACACACAGAAAACAAAAAAACTTCCAAGTTTTAAAGAAATATGAATAATTGGCATGCATTTAGTATAAAGGGATTTCGTGAGTGAGTAGATTCTTTACCTTTTCTCTAACTCCCAATTCACCTAAACTTGTTCTGTACAAAAGTACATCTATAAAACAAATTTGACCAAAATAAAAAAAATCTAGCCTGAAACCCTTCCGTTTATGGGTAGCTTTTAAAGCTACAGAGATGAGGTTTCCAAAATTTTTCAATGAACTGATTTTCTTTTTAAATTTGTTTTACTGGGTTCACTAACCACATACGTTTACTCCTAAGGTAAATTTATAGCAATGTGTACTTCTGTATAACCAAGGCAAATGAATTTAGAGAGAGGGTTAAGTGGTTTTCAATACTTATTTCGTATAATCATATGGGAATTTGAGTTGATCATTTTGAACTTCATGTCTACCATATGGCAGTAGGTAGCACATTAACTCATAGTGTCTGAAAAGCCCCATTAATAATTGTGCAAAGAGATAAGTCATAGGGTATTTGTTTTTGTTACTTCCTCCTACAATAAAAGGAAGTATCTTTCTGGAAGGGCAGGTCTGAGTCTGTGCTCGTGAACAGGATCATAGATAAGAGATGAATATATGATCCAAGGCATATTCAGCAGATTTAGTGACATCAGCCCACAAAATCTAGGTGGTCTTAATCCCATAACATAAAAGAAGTGTGTTGAGAGGGTGGAAGGGTCATTTAACAGAGCCACAATTTATTCTCAAGGAGGAAGGAATTCATTGCAGCACATAAACCTCTATGCAAATAAAAGCAATATGGTGTCTAAGGACACTGAGGATTAAGAATAATGATTCATTTCAACTTTGGGTCCAGAGACAATCCTGAGGCTGCCTGGGACATCTTCCAAAATGCCTCCTAAGCACATCTTATGTGAAATTAATCATGAGGAGAAAGGGTCAGGGGTCTGGGTGAGGTGGGGAATGTGGAGAAGAAGGGGCTCAAGCAGAAGAAAAAAACAAATGACTCTCTCTAAGGGAAAAAGCTGCTTCTTCACTACATCACACACACAGAGAAAGTTTGGACTGAACCTTGATTAGAAAGGGTACCTTATGCCAAGTAAATTAAACTAATACCAAAGAAGCTGAATAGGTTTTATCTCCTATTGATAAGTAATGCCTAGTATGTAGTATTGAACGATTCAAAAGCCCTGAAAGTATGTTTGATTACCTGTGTCTAGTAAGGGCTCAAGAATGAAAGGCAGGGTTATTTCTTAATCAGAATAACCCCTATCTTCTTCTGATTCAGCAACTATTTTTAAAGTGCTTTAGAAATTGTACGAATAGCCGGAGTGAGATATCCTCACATCTAACTGCTTTCTACAGCCCCCTACTTCCCTCAGAGATAAAGTGGCATCTTCATTTTGGTATATGCATTTGCTCTCTGTTGATTAGGCTCCAAGAATTTTTATTTCACCGTACGTGGCTACTTAACGTGGCCACTAGGAGATAGCTTAAAATAACTGTTGAAAACACTGGATTTTCATTCTCTCCTGAAATT